ATCCCGATGACCCAAACCAATCAGCCAGTCTAAACCTCCCTACGTGGCTTAAACTATTGTGGATTTCATTGACTGATGAAGCCATGTTTCCTTTTTGACCATCATTAGGTATTTTTTAATCTGATCAAACTTATTTCAGCTAACATCGACCGTAGAGGAAAGCCGTGGCTAGGCAGGCATGCATAACAGTTGTCCTAACCGTCTCAGTCGGTGTGACTTTACAGTCTCGTCATCTGATGGGTTATAAAGGAATAAAAGTAATACATATTAAATGTTAAAATGATAGCAGAGAGCGAATTTCATGATTTAGCTTGACTTAATAGTTGATAGTGGTTTACAGTGGAATCCTGAATGAGGATGCCGTCTTATTTTGCACTCATCAGTTGAATATACCTACATCCTAAGTGAGAAACAATTCCAGTCTTCGTAAAAAGGGTATCGCTCCTTATGGGATGCATGTATATCCGGTTGATAATAACCTAATGAGATGAAACGCACATTCTGGATTCCATTGCTAATCATCATCAAAGAAAGAAACATAAAAGTAACCTTAAGGAGTTGTTGAAACATATTCATATTAGAAGCCGAGATATCTACAGGGATTGAGCATTTTTGATTGAATAAAAATAAATCAAATGATGAATAGAAAGAAATTTGAGTTAACAAAATTCAAACATCAATATTTAAACAGAAATTAGGTAATCTGTCAATATCTTGATAACTTCATATTACTTTTAGTTGCAGTAGTCATACAATCACCCCCATTGTGTGATTTCAGCTCAGCGAATTGATTACAACAATCTTATGAGTCGTAATCTCCCAATTCATTGCGTAACTTCTCATTTTTCCATCTTCTTCGTGTTCTGTCCCTCTCGAACCTTCCATTCCTCAAAGTAATTATACTGGTCATAGCTTGATCTTCAAACTGTGATGTTTACATTTATTTTGACCCTGGTTCCCTCCAATTACAACATTTTCTTTCCTGACGCTCCAACATCCATAGTCTTAGACTGTATTCTATGTCTTTTCGAGCTCTCTAAAGCACTGTAATTCCAAGTACTTTGAAGAAGATGAAAACCTGAGAAATTAAGTGTTGACATCATTTTATACTGCGAATCCTGTTTTGCTGGCTTTGTCGATAAATTTCTGCGTAACATACTTCCTATAAACTCAGTAAGTAACACGCCAGTATGTTGATTGTAACAGATATCCAGAGAAGTTCATTAAAGCCAACATAGGTTACAATCATTGTAAACATGAACTGGCAACGGTGGAGAAAACGTCCCTATTTTTACGTTTACAATTCAAGGGAGATATTCCTGTGAAAATTCTATCTCAGCGTTTTAGCCAGGGCGATAAAGGAAACTTTCTACTCTGCACGTCTGTCCCTATCCTTCAGTAACCGTCTAATGTTCACCCAGCAACTCAAAGATGTCTTACTTAAACTAAGATCTTCTTCATGCATATACCATTTCAACTGCTTCTGTGGTTCAAGTTATATACGGTGCACGAATAGACAGGTTCGTCTGCGGGTTCGAGAATATTTACCAGTTTGGTTCAGCAGGGGGGAAATTAAGTTCAGAAAAAGCTCGATTCTGTCACACTTAGTCGATACTGGACAAAGCATTGATGTCAACACAGCTTTCAGGGTTATATACTGAATTCCGAAGTCGTTATCGCGTACAGTTCGCTTGCGTCTGCTACACAGATCTGAAGCTGCTGCAATAAGATCGACTAGACCGGAAGATTGTAACTACTTATATAATTTAAAATTAGTTAGCCGACTACTCCGAAAATGTGGCATTTACTCAAAGGGTAGAATAAACCTGAGGTCAAGGTAACGAAATCATCAATTACAAAGCATCTTATTGACTACATATACGATGATATTGACGCTGTCAAGTCATTCACTGTTGTTAGCAGAGAAAAAAATAGAAAGATGGCTGAATTTGCGGAGGCTTGGGTAATTCGAGTTCATCGACCTGGTCTTCATGTGTACAGAAGGCAATGGTGTACACTTTGAATCTATCACAGTAATATCGCTTACTCACTAACTGTTGTTACTATTATTAATAACATTTTATTCCATCTCTTATTATTATTATTCAAGAATTTTTTTTTATCCTTCACGTTCCCCAGTGGAACATAGGGCTTCAAGCTAGTGGCTTGAAGTTTCTCTGGCAGTGTTTATTTTTACAGGATGGGGTTGCTAGCCTCATGCCCAACCTTTCCTCTTCACCAGCATTACTTCTGGCTTAGCGAGGTAAAGGAATGCGTCGGCCGGGGACCGAACCCCGGACCATGTGCGTGGTCGGCGAGCGTCCTAACCGCTATGCCACCGACGCACCTATTCAAGAATTAGTTTGTAATTAATTGATAAGGGATCGATATCAGTTAAAGAACCCATTGAAATCCGATGAATTCATTAAATCCTGCTTTGTCGGTTTCGTCCTTGTTTAGGACTCTTCAACAGGACGCAGCCATCACACCATTATAGATCGAAACTAAGGCAAGCTCGTTTACCTTTCAACAACTTGGACGAAATCCAATCATTTATAAAGTAGTGACATGTCAATTTAAAGTTTTCATGAAGTGAAAAAAACACACTGGATTTCAAGATCACAATTACTGCACTATACAGAATTGATTTTCCATACAGTCATTGGAGTGCATTGTTGAAGAGTAGCAAGCTAGGACGAAACAGATTTTCAGCGATACTTGATTTCCAAAGGTTCTCTAACTGATTTTTGGTTCATGGTCAAACCTCATTTTGATTAAATCCCTGAAAATCAGCTCTTGAAAATTAATGTATTGATTATTAGCAAATGACTACAGTATGAAGTCGCTTAAAGTTCTAGTGAGGAGCTGTGATCCGAGGGGCAGCCAAGCTGAGTGTAGGGATAAGTATTCACCACTGATATTGACGGAAGTTAGAGGTCATATGCCTTTGGATTTGGTTCAGATGACTGAAAGGCATATGAATTTGCCTTTGATTTGATCTCTGGTGGGATCATGGGTAGGTATTACTGAAGAGTCCCAAACAAGGACGAAATAGTCATCCATTACTCTCTAGTTGTTAATGGTTCTCTCACTGAAGTCAATTCCTGATGAAATGGTTTGAAATGCTTCTTTATTAACATTTCCACGTTTAATCACAAATTGATATCAGCAGGAGAACCATTGAAAACCAGGTAGCACTGCCAGACAGGTGTTTTTTCCTAGCCTGGGACTCATCAGAAGTACACACCTACTGCCAGGGTTCGAACCTAGAGCCTTCAGGTTACAAGGCAACCTCGCAGACCATTCAGTCATTGAGGTCCGATTCAGAGGCCAGTTCATGAATTCTAACCCCTATCAATTCATGATTTAAACGCGACTGACACTAGCCAATATCATCACTGGCAGGTATTTGTCCTCAATACAGACTGGATGGACCCCACTCGTCACAACTTCTCACTGAAGCCAGTCATCAAGGAGCATCAGATTAATTTTCATCAGTTTGTTTGCATGTATTAGATTTAGAACAACACATTTAAGCGAACAATAATGTGTTTTCAATTAGATCTCATCATCAGGCTTAACTCTAATATACATAAGTTTACAAATAAAAATTCAAATATAAACCAATCAAGGTGTTTTGTCTATAGGAAAATAAGGTGGTGAATATAAATTGTGCAATTAGTCATAATAGTAGTAATGATAATAACAATAATAATAGTGATAATAATAATGGTTTTATCAATAATAAGAATGAAAAAGTGAGGCAATCTGTGATAACACGAATAATGAAAAAACCAACATGATTAAACAAACAATTGTTCAGGTATACGTGGTAGTCGATAAAGGCTAGTAAAAACAAATGAACCGATTGAGTAATGCCAGACTGATTGTAAGGGAAGTAAATGAGACACGTTTTTAATGAAGATGAGATAAGATTAAGGGATGATAAGAGAGGGATTGAAAATATAAGTAAGGGGTGGTGTAGAAGTTGGTTATGTCTTAATAGGCCGATAAGGCAGGGATAATAGCTGTACGAACTTCTTTTGAATGCATAGTTTAGATTTAATGGTTCGAATGCCTATCGCTTGCCTCAGCTGTGTGCGTGCAGTAGACCAATACGAAGTATACTGGAAAGATTCGGTGGGATACGATGAACTACTTTGAAAGCTCTTGTTTTCTCCACTACATGACCGCTATCAATTAAATGTGACAAAATTGAGCTACGGATTGTTTTTGTCTGTCTTTTGCCAAACCACGATGGGAGATGTTCACTAACACGTTGGCTAAGCTGTCTAGTAGTAGCACACCCAACATAACTGTCACCGCAGGTGCAGTTGAATTGATAAATGCTCATAGATGTGGCAAAACTATCTAGCTTATCCTTCGTTTGCATCCCAATCATTCGTCGGCTAGAGAATGACAAACATAGGTATGTTGCGAGATCGAGCATTGCTTAATCGGTTCATTTGTTTTTACTAGTCTTTATCGACTACTTCCACCTGAACAGTTGTTTGTTTAATCATGCTGTTTTTCATTATTCGTGTTGTCACAGATTGCCTCACTTTTTCATCCTTATTATTGATAAAACCATTATTATTATTATCAACACTACTATTATGACTAATTGCAAAATTTATATTCACCATCTTATTATCCTATAGAAAAAACACTATGATTAGTTAATATATTTGAATTTTTATTTGTAAACTTATATATATTAGAGTTAAGCCTGATGATGAGATCTAATTGAAACCACAATACTGTTCGCTTAAATGTACTGGATTTGTTTTTCAAGTCTGACCACAGATTGATATCAGTTCACGAACCACTGAAAACCACTGGACAGTTGTTTCATCAGCCTAGTTCAAGACTCATCCACAAGACGCACCAACGATAAGGAGTTCAAACTCACAACTTTCCAATTACAAGTCAAGCTTACTTACTTTATTACATTTCAATAAAACTCATGCCTAACGCTAACTTAAAACCAATCAATAATCTATACACAAAAAGTTGCCTTACATAAATTTCCCTTCAAGGTCAGCATCACAATTAAAAGAACAAATTAAGAATACAAGAGAACAACTGATTGTTTTATTTATAAGACATTTGAAAGTTGATGTATTACACACAATGTTACAACAGGCACTGTTGCTCAATTGCTCTTTCATCTACAAAATAACCTTTATAGAAACTCGGCTAACTTTATATATGTATGATCTGATGAGTGAAACAAACTCTTCATGTGAATTAATCTCTGTCCGTCTGTGTGCATGTGTGTGTGCGTGTTCTTGAATGTTTCTAGATGTTACTGTATTGTCGTTTTATTGATTCCCCATGTCTGATTCATCTCTTCCATGTTCCTGGAGGACAGTTGAAAGAGTGCCCTCTCTCTTTAAAATGACTACAAAAGCGTCTTTTGCGATTCAACCAAAAAAGACAGGATTGTTCTCGATGCTATTCCAGTGTGAGTAGAATATACCATGGAAACTGATTTTGAGTGTGTGTGTGTATATGTGTATGGGTGCATATATACGTTCTATAGAAAAATATGAAATTAAAACTAAAAAATATATGTAAACAGTAAAACCATTTTGCATCTCTACGCATGATTACAGGCAGCCTATTCAACAACTTACAGCATTCGGTTCTTGAGCACACCTCTCTCTCTCTCTCTCCCTCTCGAAATATACAGGTATAGTTTTTATCAAAATACTATGATGAGATTGATAAAAGTGAGCAACAATAAACCAAAAGTGTTGTAACTGAGAGGGAGATTTATCAAATAAGTGTGGGAGTGGGTGGGTGAGTGGGGTTCATGTGAGCATCATTAATCATCATTATCATTCCTCCTTTTTTTCATATAAGCGGTTCTTCAATATATAATATACCATTACTAAATTTCGCTGTAAGACTCTCAGGATCAACATGATCGGGTATATCATATTCTTTAGAAAATTCTCTTACAGCTGTACGATTTAATCCACGTTCTTCATGACGTGCTTTCACGTAAATACGACGATTTAGCGTTTTAATTTGTATTTCTGACGGGGAATACTCTGAATCGATAGGCAGTTCTAGACAAAATCGACGTTTTCTTGGTGATTGATATACTGGACGATGTAGATCATTGTTGTTGATATAGTTTCGAGTGTGATGATCACGTTCATGACTGTGTAAATTAATATCATAATCTGAATGGATCGAACGTGTTGAATGGCTCAATTTTGGTGATTTTAATTCAAAGGTGTTTAAAAGTTGTTGTGATAACTTTCTTGGTGATTGATATTGACGAGGTGAGTTGTTATTATTATTATTATTATGATTATTATTATTGTTATTATCATTCCAAAATCGATCGGAGGATACTTCTGAATTAGAAACAGAGGATCGTCCATCTACTGACGATGAAAAAGGCGGTGGTTTCATAGGACAACTCACAGTCAGGATACCATTCAGGGATAATAAAGCAGAGATTTTCTCATCATCTACACCTGGAGGTAAATTGACAGAACGTGAATATTCACGAAGAGATGACGTCGAACCATTGTCTCTATTATGATTGGTCGTTGCATTCAAACTATGCGTGGAATGACTTCTGTCTGTTTTAGCTGTTACCACTAGCTGACCATCACGTACAAATACTTTTACTAATTCAGGATCATAATCTGATAGATTAAAATTCGCTACAAAATGTACACTGCCATCTTGAAATTGTTCATAACCACTTGTCTTTGTTGTTGCTGTCGCTGCTGTTGTCGTCAGTGTATCTCGTGAACTGGCTAATGAATTCATTACATCCCGACTGCCGAATAAATCACTGGAACTAGATAATCGACTAGGTAATAGCATATCATTGTGCATCAGTCGAAATTCTTCATTCCATCGTCTTCGTCTTTCCTCCATTCTACGTTTCATATCATCGTACAGGTAATCCGTTGTCTCTGCGAATCGCAGTGGACTAGATGAGATTGTACGAAAACGTTTATGCCATGGGATTTGATGAGAGAATTGGTCATTGCTACCGGATGTGTGACGATTACGTGAATCCCAGTCGAATTTATTGGTATTATTATTATTACTGGCGAAATTATATTTCCATTTGTCGTCTGATGGAAATGTTGTATCGTTGTCAAAAATACTAAAATTTTTCAAGTAATCATCATGAATGACGGATTTTTTATTACGTTCAACAGGTATACGTAATTCCGTACGATAATTGGTCATTTCTTATCTGCATTCATTATCGTTATTCATAAAATAATAATTAGCAAGCAGGATTGCGCAAAAGTCTGTTCACCGTTAAATGTTACAATAGTTGAGACAAGAGAGAGAGAGAAAATTATTTATGTAAATGTCACATATATATCCTTCCTTAGAAAATTGTTTTGATAGATAATTTGACAGGTTTCAATGTTCAATATTATTATATACAAGTGTAACTGCTGCTTATTTAGGCTGAATAGAAAGGATATATTGTAAAATACAGGCCGTTTTAATAACAAACATACTTGATTAATGCTAGTAGTGAAAGAGAAAAATGTGTAAACACAAGCATCTGTCCATATATCGCTCAGTCAAACACACACACTCTCTCTCTATTTGTCTTTTGCGCGCGCGCTCATTTAAACAGACACGCTACGTGTCTGACAACATACGGAATGATAACGAATCAATGAATGAAAACGTTAACTGCCTGTCTGTCTATCGATCCCTCTATCTATCTATCTATCGTTTATCTTTCGGCTGTGTCTATGAGTGCTGTGCTGCATTGTTTTTAAAAATTTTTAACCTTGTGTGCTTGTACTGCGTTGTGTAATCGTCCCTTGCAAGGTGACATTTCATTTTCTGTGTTCTATGTCACAAGATTTGTTTGTGTTTAAGTAAGAAACATTAAAACAAGCAAACAGTATTATTTATTTCTTCTAACCAACTCTCTCACACACACACACAATCATTCACTCTCTCTCTTTCTGTAACTTCTGCCTACTACCACTACCTTTCATGGTAAAAATCACAATATTTGGAGAATATCTTAGAGACACTTATGTGCGTGTATTATTGTGCAATATAGCCATTGGGTAAAATACCATTTATAATGCAAAACATATTGTGACCCAGCCTTCCAGCACATGTGTTGCTAAGGTCACACTAGACAAGATTTTCTCTTCTGAATAAGTTAGAAGAGAATGGCACTAGTGATATGGTTACTGTTTTGAGAACTTATGTGAAAAAAGAAGCGGAAATGAAATAAAGATAAGGGCCAAGTTAAACTTTAAGCACCACTAACCAACTACCAATAGAGTGTGACCGCACGGGTGACCTTGAAACGTTCACTGAGCAAGTTGATGTAACGTGGCAAATAATGTTGTCATCATCATCATGTCTTAAATACTTAAATCCACCACACAACCTACTTCCTGACAGTGTATCAAGCATTTTGGTTCGAAAGTGTTCTGATACGTTGTATTATCCTCTTACTCAAATATATAATGCATCTTTTCACAGGGATACAGTATCTGTTGCCTGGAAAGAAAAAAACGTGGTGTCTGTACTAAAGTCATATTCTGGATCAGCTCTGAAGATCAGGCCAATCTCCCTCCCGTTTTCATTTTTGAAAACTATGGAGAAAATCTTCTTGTATGTTTTTGAGCCTTCTTTGAAATGTTTTATTGATCCAAAGTAGTTTCCTTACAAATGTAATAGAAGCACATTAGATGCTGTCGTTGTACTCCACCACAATATTGCTTCAAGTCTTGATTAGAAGGTACAATTTTTTGTTCGAGCCTCCTTTTTAGAATATACTGCTGCTTTTGACTCAAATCCTAGGGCACTTTTACTAAGTAAGCTTATTTCAGCACACACTGAGTCTTGGGTCACAAGAAGACTGTCTAATTATTTTTCAGGTAGAGAACGACACATTATTTTGAATGCAAAGCACTCCACTTCGTTGGTGCGCCTCAGTGGTGCTCTACTGTCTTTGTCCCTTTTTTCTTTCATTTTGCATGACCTTCCATATTCTTCCAAAGCTAATTTCATTAAATATGCCGATGACGTGAACATTTTTGTCCCAGTAGTTTCTACATTGGACTGTTCTTATATGATGAATAGATTCTTATCTGAAGTTAACAAGTCGTCTCACCAGAATGGTCGTAAACTGGATCCATCTAAATGTCATATTGATGATTTCAGTTTCAGATGCGAACAATCCTTGCGTATGATTCCTGTTATATTGACGGCAGTGTGATAGGGAGTAAATGGAATATCGCTTATCTCGACATCAGCTTCTCTTCGAGTCTCTGTTGGTTGTCTCATATCCTGATGATTTCCACGAAAATGTTTCGCCTGACTTATGAAACTTCCTGCTGGCTTAACTCAACCTCATCTCTTCCCCTGTAATTTATTAATTCATGTATTCTGCCCATTCCACTTCTGTATTGTTCCCCCTTGTTCTTCCCTGGACTTCTGAAAAAAACCTTGTCATATTACGTAGAACACTGAAGGCTGTAAGTAGGGTTAGCAGTATGTCTCTGACCCAGCTAACTGAGGTTATTGTCAATAGGCACTTCAATCCTTGCAGGCGATGGGCCCAAGTTATTCTGTCTGATACCGAACATCCTCTATATTATTCACAACTTTTTCCTTGTATCTCTTTGGGGCGTAAAGCCAGAAGAAACTTCATAAGAATTTATGCTCATACAGCTACTAAATATGCAAATTCTACCATACCACCATATTTATCACGGGTTTTGTGTGAAGAGAGAGTCAGATGTTAGAAAAGAACTTATAAACTTTTTAAATCAGTAAGTGAACTGCGAATTATAAGCAAAGATTATTATTATTGCATTTATAGTCTACGGCATTATCTATTTATAATTCATTATGTTTGGCCAACCTACATTTTTCTGTAATTTTATTATTGTTTCCAATTTTATGTATCTGCATGTTTGTAAAAGGAGTTAAATTGTTGCAATATCGGTAAAACCTCTGAAAATTCCAGTCTGTAAAATTATTATTGTTTGGAATAAGGTGATTATTATTGTTACACAGTCCGAGGTGAACGTTCACCAGAGTTTTCAATGGAAACCAAAAGTATTTAGATCATGACATGTGATCTGTATAATATCATAAATGGCAATAAAGAAAGAACTGCATAACTGTATAAATATTGATTATCTAAAATTGGTAGTTGAACACCACTCATATCGACCAGTAGTGTTTGCTAGCCATATTGTGAAGATCTAAACACTAGACGACCTTTCGCTCTTCTGAGGTCGAGGTAATCGAAAGTACTCCTGACTCTATTATGTATAAGATTTTATTTTGATAAATCACACAGTGTTGTACAGTAATATTAACTGATGACGTTTCGAGCATAAACTACTTCTCATAATCATATCAAGTTACTCACACAACTTTTTTCCTTCATTTATATACATGTGTGGAGTCGATTAGATATTGGAATAAAATTCAATATGAGATAATGTACATTCAGAAATAATAATATGAGTGTTATTTATCAATTACAATCAGATGGGAAATAAGACGAGTGTTTCTATAGTCATAATAAGTTACTTCTTAGAATGTTGTGATGTGCTTGAATTGAAGTAGAATTTTAAGATTATTTATTATCCTCTTCTCATTTGACTGACTGGTGGTAATAATATCTTCCATATTTCTGGAATTTGCATTGAGTCACTTCTGTTGCATGTGTTGGGTGTAGACTCGATGAATAAGGATTCCGTAATCAACCTCTCTCTCCACCTACCTATATTACTTCTTAGAATTTTAACCCTCTCCCACCCTATTGTGTGATTGTGCGTTAATGCGTGAAGTGCAACTGCTGAGCTTTTTTTCTAAATTACTTATCTTTTCAGGGTCAACCATTCTTACCTTAGCTAAATTCTTATGTTCCGATAATCTGACTACCCCGGACCTACTAGTTTGACCTATGTAGTTGACCTCACTCACAGTCATTGCAGGGTATTTTGTAAATTATATTATTTTGTCTGATTGGGTCCACTGGGTCCTTTAACCTACAGAGCTTGTCTTAGCTGAGTGAGTTTGTAGGTTTGAATGCCACCCTAATTCCTGCTTTATTAAGAATCCTACGTAGGGTCTCAGATGTCCCCTCCTTATATGCTATTACAGTGGATGACTTATATTCTCTCTTATTTATGTTATCATTGCTAGTTCCACAATTATTTTTATTTTGTTTTTGGCCTTTAGTTATCCTCCTAATGAATTTTAAAGGATAGTTATTCAACACTAACGCTTCTTCTATCTGTTTTATTTCGTCGTTTAGGTCTTTTTTGTGCTACTTAGTGCTACTGCTCGGTTTGTTAGACACCTAACTAAGCCTTAAATAACCGAGCCATAGCACTAAGTAGCACAAAAAAAGACAGTTAGATCCCTTCAATTTAGCTAGCAAGCTCTACTAGCTGATTTGAGTGGTATCTGACTACTTATCTCAATCAGTCAGTAGTATGTGACTTTGTATATCTATTCTTGCTTCCTTTGTTACTATTTATAATATCATCAAGAGATCACATTTAATGATCTGAACAGTTTTGGTTTCCATAGGCAACTGTGGAGAAATTTTACTTCTTCAAACCTTTTTTTATTCCTTTACTTTCCCAGTGGAACATAGGGCACCTTCAAGCTAGAGGCTTGAAGTTTCGGTATCAGTGGTGTTTATTTTTATGGGATGGAATTGGTAGCCTCATGCTCAAGCAACCTTCCCTCTTTACTGGTTTTATTAGCGGCTTAGCCAGGGAAAAGGAGTGCGTCGGTGGCTGGGGATCGAACCCCGGATCACATGAGGTGTGGTTGGCAAGCATTCTACCTCTGTGTCACCGAAGCATAAACTGTGTAAATTACAAATTGCGAATTAAATTCCATATTCCAAATTTTATTTGATTGTATTTTCCTTTTAATGAATAAGGAAGTTAATTAGAATACCTACCAATAGCATTAAATTTGCCCTTTCTAGCTTTTTATTGTGATATTTAAATTTCACACTGACACCATTAATATCACAACAGCTGATAGGCTGATAATATATGCTTACCACTTTTAATTACTCAAATCAATGGAGCGTTAATTAATTAACTAAAGATAACATTACAGTTTGTCGTGACGTCATACTGATATTAAGGTACAAAGAGTTAAAAATGCGTTTTACTCTTTTGATCAATGCTATGCATCATTGAAACTTTGATATGTATAATCAGCTGATTATATAGTTATCTGACCCTGAATTTTATACGTTAATACATTAAAACAAATGAACACAGCAAAAGGAACATATTGAGCAGGATAAAACGATATCATTATACTTCCTTATCGTTCTTATCATCTGAGTACAATCCTGCTCAGTAGGTTCTTGTTTTGTTCAAGTTAATCAAGAGAATTATTGCTTAAAATGCCCACTAGAAATTTTTAGATTTAATAGTTTTATTTTTATTCCTTCAAGTTCCCAGTGGAACATACGGCTTCAAGCTAGAGGCTTGAAATTTCGGTAGCAGCCGTGTTTATTTTTACAGGATGGGGTTGCTAGCCTCATGACCAACCTTCCCTCTTTACTGGTCTTATTAGTGGCTTAGCGAGGTAAGAAAGGAGTGCGTCGATGGCTGGGGATCGGACCCCTAGTCATGTGCAT